CCTCCAACCACAACAACTACGCCGCCCCCCTCAACACGGCCAACGGCTTCCCCGTCTTCGCCACTGTCATCTTGGCGAACCACGTGGCCAAGAAGGACAACAAGGTGGCCGTGGGGGAGCTGACGGACGAGGACGTGAAGATGATAACGGGCCTCTCCAAGGACCAGCAGATCGGGGAGAAGGCAGGTGCAGGGCGGGCGGGCGCGGGTGGTGGGCACCTGGCTTGCTCTCTGGGCCACCCCGACCTCGGGCGGGTTCGCTGGTCCTGGGGCCGTGCCGCCTTCAGTCCCAGCGTGGACCCTGGTGGGCCTGGACGGGGGGCTCCACGCTGCCGGGGGGAGTGTGCACGGTGCCAGGCCCTAGAGGCCCCAGCTGCAGCCTTGCAGACCAGCAGGCAGGTGACTGCCGTGGAGACCCTGCAACGGGGTGCTTCCTGGTCAGCACACGGTTGGCAAGGGCTGGGCAGGCAGCAGTCCTTCCGTGGGTCATGGTGAGCATGGCCGGGGACATGGGCCAGGCAGAGGTGCAGCCAGACCTGCACGGGGTTGTCCTGGGTCTGCGTCCCTGGCCTCCCTGTAGAGCTGGCATGTGTGTCTGAGCTCTGGGCTGGGTGAGGCTGGGGGTGGAGCATGGCCTGAAGTTCCTGTCGGGGTGTCTGTCTGCTTTCTGTCTGTCTCACGGGAAGAAGAAAGAAACTTGGCAAAAGGAACAGGGATGGCGGCGGAGCAGTGGCCAGCCTGCGGCGTGGGCGGTGCCCCCTGCTGTCCACTGCCAACACGACCTCAGGGAGGCTGCCCCGCCGTGGGCTTTACGTGTCTGTCTCAGTGGGAGAGAAGTCGGTGTTTGACGGGCTTCCCGCCTGGTTAGCAGGAGCGTGGGCGTGCCGGTCGGTGTGGGGTTGAGACCCAGGCTCTGCGGGAGCCAGCACCACACGGCACCCTGCCACCTGCTCCCCGTGTTGGGGCTTCCTCTGAGAGTGGGGAGGGGCCTGAGCAGGGGCACAGGTCACCGGATGGGGGTACGTCCCTGGGCGTGGTGCCGGCCGCTCCCAGAGGCTATTCACTGTCGGGAAGTCTGGAAGCTCGCCCTGGCAGGCTTGGTGCTGTGCTGTGCAGGCTCAGCCCCAGCTCCGCACACGGCATCGAGCCGGGCCATGTCCTTGGGAAAGGGGAAGGGGCCGCTCCAGCCTCGCTGTCACAGGGTGGTGTCACCAGGCCCTCAGGTGGGCCGTCCCGCTGGAGATACCCCTCTGACCTGGGGTTGTCTGTTCTCCTTACTGTCCGAGGCGGCCGTGGCTGGGGTGAGGCGTGGCCTCAGTGGCCCGCTGTGTGTCTCAGGCTCACGTGGACATGGGCTGGCAGGCTGGTTCCCGCAGGTTCTGCTCTGACCCCGTCCTGTCCGGCCCCTCCTCAGATCTTCGCCAGCATCGCCCCTTCCATCTACGGGCATGATGACATCAAGCGAGGCTTGGCCCTGGCCCTGTTTGGGGGGGAGCCCAAAAACCCAGGTGAGGCCACAGTCCCGTGGCATACCCCCCTAGGACAGCGACCTGGGAGGTGCACAGGTGGGGCTTCTGCCGTGTTTAAAGTGACCTGAGACAGTGGTAAGCGGCAAACACGAGGGGCGCG